AGGAAGGCCGTGTCGGAACGTCTATAAAATACCCGGTTGGATCGAGGTGGAAATGATAGTATATCGAGAAACCCCCATTTGTTTGTGCAGTATAAAGTTCACTCTAAGTGCCTTGCGCGGGAGATTCCGCTTAAGTCATTCAACGAGTGTGGTCGTTCTACTTTTTTTTTTTATAGGATCGGGTGACAAACGAGCGCACAGTCCACCTGATGGTAAGTGGTTACTGTGACCCATAGACATCTACATCTATATATATTCAATAAAGACTCAAGATGCAGATGCGTTGTCACCCGTGAGGACTAAGATGGAATGCCTCTTTGCCAGTAAAAAGGGTCTCCGGTTCTCTACACTCACCATACGAAACACAGCAGCGTTAAGCTGTTATTTTACGCTGGTTTTCTGTGAGAGCGTGGTCCTTCCCCGTTCGAGCCGACCAATTCGTGCTACAACCATAATATAGCTGCAGCATGGCTCTGCCACTAGTGATAGTGTCGTGGTTCTGTTCGTTGTTGTAATTCTTCTAGTGCAGGCAAGGAGAATTGGTGTTGCTGAGGCTGCCCTGTGTTACATTGAGATAAGTAGTGTTGCTGTTGGTTTACATATTTTGGTGTTGTCATGTAATTACGTACCTCACGTTACACTGGTGTGTGATTGTGACGGAGACGTGTTACGGTGTGGTCGAAGTGTAATTTCACTATACTGAATGTATAGTGCGTTACGTTGTCTTATTACTGATAATGATAAATTGCGTAAGCAAGAGAGCAAGTTGTATTTCCGAGACCACAAATTGGGATCGTCTGTTGAATTCTCTGGCATACTCGTATATATATTCACTTCCCATCCTTACACTGAGCGCGTTCCGTATGGAATTTATGAATGTGTGGTGCGACTCATATAAAATCTATGCAACAATTGCGTTCGGAACGGTTTTTTTCCGTTTGGGATCCAAACGTATAGGCCGTCATGCGAAATCTCGAATCGGATAAAATTCCGTACGGAAAACGTACGTACGTACGTGTGTGATGTGTCCTTGATTTTATATATAATTGCTATGTTCGGAATCCCGAATCGGAATTCCGAAACTGAATGCCGTATTTATATGGCCGGCCTTATAAATAATTAAAAGACGAACAAACAATTTTTATGTTCGAACAATAACGAACAAGCGACGAACAATTAATTAAAGAAAAAATCAAAAAAGTAAAAATCAAAAAGTTGGGCTGGGTTCAGGTACCTTATAAATTATATTATCTTAACTATCCACTCAAGCGCTATACCGGAGCTGCCAACTATCGACTAACCACCAGCGACCGCTCGGATAATAAAATGTTATTTGACCACTTCCGACCTTGGCGATAAAAACACCTGTCGTTCGTGATCTACAAGTGATATATCAAAATAAAGAATACAGTTATAAAGCTGATTAAATAATGAACCTAAATATGATTATAATGATAATAATTCTGTAAATACATACTCGTTACGCTCGCGAATCATATTTTGTTAAACATTCAATCTGGCCCTGACCTGCAAATTACAAAAAACGTAAGAAAATTTGAATTTCGCGGGCCACCCTGGAGCTTTCACCTTAAGTTCGCAGTTGTAGTCGCTTCGAAGAATTCACTTATATCGCCAATTCAATAATGACTCGGTCGTGGACTATACCGGCCTTATATAGGGCCTCAGATAGTTTCCAGAACCTTCTACTGTAGAAACATTTAGATTGTTCGACTACATATCGGTCCCGAAATTTCTAGAAGGATCTTGACTCTCTAGTTCTGCTACTCGATACTAGAGGGCGCTAGTGGTAACTAGTGTTGCCATGTACAAGACATTAATATTGGCGCCCAACAATAGTGATGGAAACTTTCTTTATAAAAATATATATTTGATGAAAAGCCCTTAACTTTATATCCATTTTAATCATATTTAAATAAACTAGATTAGATTACCTTTCTAAGAATACCAGAATAATTAAACATTCTTATTATTTGGTCTGTGCTTATTCTAAACCGCGACCGACTCACTTTTTTTTGGTTGACCTTCTTTTTTTGGAGTTTATGGCCTGAACTTTTGGTTGACAGGCGCTATAAGGCATTTAAATCAATCGTTTGACATTGTGAAGAAAGAGATTCCTGCCATAAATAAACTTTATTTGGAATTGAAAGCTGATATTGATTTTAAATATGGCAGAACAACGTTGAGTACTTGTAGTAGCTTAAAGACTATGGGCTACGAATACAAAAGGTGCCAGTTTAAAAGGATAAATTTATAATTAACGTCACAGGCCGACACATCCGAATCTTCCGATGAAGACTAGCATGGATTATGATGAAGATGTGAGAATGGAAAGCGTTGACCCACATTATAGACAAAATATCAGTGTCATTAATTATAATAATTGTCATTTTAACAAGCATATAATATCTTCACCTATAATTATGTAAGAAAAATTGAAAGTTAAATTTCACCAATTTTTAGGTTCTCGATGGAGCGGAAATTTTGCATATTCGTTAAGTTTAGATGAAAATAAGTGACCTCATTCTAAATTCAATATGGCGGACTCCAAAGATGGAGGACTAGTTATTTTTTGTGCATTCCAATGATATGGATATCAAATAAAAGGATTTGCTGAGAAGAATATCAAAAATAAAATTGAAACGTGTATTTTGTTTTTTTTTTTTCTCAAACTCGCTCGCATATATTAAACGTTTTCAAATGTATTTAAGGAGTAATTTATATTTAATTAATCTTACAATAGAAACTTGTGATACTTGTGTCAAACTTACGGAAGTTACAATCAAGAAATATATTTATTATGCGCATCTTAAACAATAACTATAGGGTTTAATATTTATTAGGTCTTTGTAAGTTTAAGCTGAACATTACAGTTTTTTAACTGAGCTTTGGTAATCATTTCGGTTATTTATGTAATTTCATATACCTAATTATATACTTCTAGTAATAAGATTAAATGAAGGAAAAAATATTAGTTCAGCTGGTTACATTAAGTACGCCATCAGTCGCGCGCAGAGTTATCTTGTGCTCCCATATATATAATGTACTCTGTGTCTTGTGCGCACTTTAGTAGTAGTAGTACCATAGATAATATACTACATAGGGGAAGGGTAAGTAGTACCGTAGTGATTATATTTATATTCTCTTTGAGTAGTACTTCGAACAGCCGAGGCCGTCATAGATAGTATATTATATAGGAAGCCGTTGCCAAATTGCCGATGCGTCGCGAAAATAGCCGAATAAACGATTTGTTACATTTAGTTCTGGTCCCATTGTATGAATAGATAGTTTCAATAACTGGTTAGGTACGTTTTGTAACGACCACTTCTACAGTTCTACACTACCGGCCAGGCTGGTGCAACTTCCATAGTAAAAATTATATGTACTACAGGGGTCAAATTTTAATGACGGTTACTCTTCTTTATGCTTTTCGTGATATGTCTATTAACGACATTGTCAAATGAAATAGGTTCAAATGTCAAATCAAACAATTATATTTGTATATATTTTATTAATTAAGATTGCTTTTAATTTTGCTATAGGAGCCGTTGTTCATTTACAGAATTGTAAAGAAATTAAATATGCATTATAAAACTTTCCAATTAAGTAGTGCAAGAAACGGAAAAAATGATAACAAGAAAAGGCTATTCGTAACAATATTTCCCTTAGATGATGAAAGGTATGTGGTGATTTCAACTTTAATAGTAATATGATATTCAACGCGAGTATATTTTTGGACTAGCCATCTATGTAGGACATGTTTTTATAGTGTATACGAATACAAACACACTATTTCCTAAATCTGATAGTTCGATGGTTTGGCAATCTGAATTGAACTATACTTAGAAACTACAAGTCAATTCTGACTGCTAACATTCTATTTGTTCAATAATAATGTGATTTTATTTATATTATTTTTTCAGATGCAAGCAATGGGTGAAATAGCTGGCACATGCACCAATTGAAAAGATTCACATGTTAAGACATATTTGCGACAAACATTGCATATGAACCCAACTAAAACGAAGTTATTTCTTTAGTGGACTCACTTTAAACTTCCACAATTTATGTGTATGTTAACTAGGTTTCATTTACATGTAGCAAAAGATAATATCCCTCTAAAGTCACATTTTGGCAAGAATTAGATTATATAACTAAGTCATTATTTTATTCATCAATAAACATTAGCTATAATGAGCACTTATTTTGAAAGCGACAATTAGTGAACGATCTCTGCGAATAGTATGTACATAGATGCCTCTGTTAAGAAGCCTAGCGATTTGTACAAAGTATTTGTTACATATAAAGCAATTTAATCCAATCAGTGTTAAAAACCCAATATTTTTACCCTTAAAAAAACTAACGTTGAAAACAAGCATCCAGACGCAGACTATTTATTTTACAGCATAGCAACAATTGTTCAGTGCGGGAAGGAAGCCTCGGTCCTGCAATGCCGCAGCCAAGTGCTTAGCCACTGCGCTACGGAGTCATTTATTTTTTACTTAATTAATTACTAGTATAAAAGTGCGTTTTTTATTTTATATTTTCTTTATATATACTTTTGTACCTAATTGTAGAGATATAAAGACAAATTGCTGTGTGTAAAATACATTGATTTCTTATCCTCATCGGCAGTTTTACTCAATCCACACGTTAAAAATTTTATTTCTCATAAAAAATTCAGTATAGAGATCTAACTTTTCTTATGTAAAAATATCGATAAATAATATATCGATAAACGTTATATCGACAAAATTATTCGAGGAGAGACATTTACAGCACTATTGTAATTCGTCAATGTTGTCAGCACTGTTTCTCAAAACTAAATGTCATATCTTGATGTTGGTAGAGTAACTTGGCGTAATTTCATACAATTATTTTTACTATGGAAGTCCCGCCTCTTAAACGTAGTGATTATATTCTCTTTTAGTGATTATATTCTCTTTGCTACCGGCGACTACCGGCCATATTTATTTGTCTATGGTGAGCGGTGACGCGGCGTACATTGTCCTGTTCCTGATTTCTAGATTTTGTGATTTGTGAATTTCTCACAATATATTTGGAATTACCTATTCAGGTATTGTTTTTTTTAATAAATAGTAATTGTGTATTGTTAGTATTGTCTATTTTGGCAAATGTTTAGTTCTTTATTGTTTTTAAAGTACTTAAAGATTGCTGTAACATCTTGATTGGATGTTAACGATAAAACAAAAAAGAAATTATTCGGATTTGTGAATTATAGATATAGTTTAAGTAATATTCAGACTGCTTTTTGACTTATCAGCCGTTGAACTTAATTTGACGTAGGGATTGCAAAGTGCCGGTGGGTGTGCTTGATTACAATTCCACCTGGTGCCCTAAATGGTAAATTGCACCCAGATTGTAATCGGATGGAAAGACAGATGCCGGCAAATTATTCCACGCAATTGCTGCACGCTTCAAACGAAAAGTCAAACTATTTGGTTCGCTTGCATGCAGTATCGACTACAGAGGGATATTGACTTGTTAACTATCTTATTATCCTATGTTAGTAATTCCTGCTCAATGTATCATAAAGAACATCCAGAGTCTAGCAACAATTCCTGTGCTCTATATTGTCAAAAATGATTTCAACTTGCCAGGCTTACTAATAAGACTTCGTATGCCTCTCCAATGAGTTCAATGTGCAAGGATACCTGGTTTCTCTGCGCCTGCTTTGGCCTAGACATAATAGACCACTCTGAAGTTTGATGAAAACTTAACACCAAACTTAATTATATTTTAATATTTATATATACATATATAAATATTAAAATATATTAAATATTTATTGCATTAAAGTACACACTTAAACTACTCTTTCAACTATCCTCTAATAGGCTGGAAGAAATTTCAACATGGACTTACAGTGCTTTTGTTTCTTTTTACCATTTTCCTATCAAAGTATGTGTGTACATTAGAGATGCCGTGAATAGTCGAATACCGTTTAATTGCCATTCCCTATGGCGATTATTCGAATAACTCACCATTATTACTCGACATAAAGAAGGGAATAAAGTAATTGTTATTAAATAATAATATCATACTTATAGTAATCTTGAATTTATCAATCATTTATTTGTTACTGTAATCTAAAAAAATTTTAAGCTTTTGAGGTGTTTTTTTGAATTTCAGTGCTGTTCTTTAGATTACTATGAAGTCTATGCGAGGAAGAAACCCTAATTTTGATAATTTTAATAATTTTGATGAAGGTCCTAATGAAGAATGGGATGATTTTGAACAAAGACCGAACATGGGCAATTTTAGGTATGACTTACCAGATGTGTAATTTTTTTTTCATTATTGTTTACAAATCATTATTATTGATTAAAGTTAAGAATAAAATATAATTTCTCTCATTATGTAATGCAAAAACTGCATAATTTAAAATATTGCAATACATTTGCAACAGATTTGCCCATATTTACTCTTGTGAATGAATTCTGCACTTGCCAACTTGTATATACACTCTATATGCAGGTCGATAAGTGCAGAATTGATACCCTCTTACTGCCTATTGTGTCTGTACAATTTGATTATATTTGTAAATTGTGTGACCATTAATCACCAAAGAGTATAAACTTTCTGGAGAGTTTGACAAAATGAAATTGGTATATTTCTCTTTATGCCCCTCAAAATGTTGATAATAATGTTATAATTTTAATGTAGTAAATTGTTGCTGCAGCACAAATTAGTCTGGTTGGCTACCCGCTGCTATTTTGTGAAACAACAGCATTATGCAGCTGTTTCATAATATGTTAATTGTAGAGAACCATACACCCTTATTACTGGTAACAAGATATTCCATCTTATCCTCAAGGATGACAACACATCTGCATTTTAATACTTAATTGATGACAACTGTAAGAGTATATGAACCTCAGCATCCATTATACATCAGCTGTATTGTGAGCTTGTTTGTCATTTTTCGAAAATATTCTGCACGGTAATCATAAAAACCTGGGGATTTTATTAAATTAATCTAAAGTGACATACAAATTTACAATCCATTTGATGGTAAGTGACTACTGCAGCCCATGGATACCTTCAGCTAACTTAAAACAAAAAGCTAAAGTTGCTTTGTTACTTCTGAATTAAAATATGTTAATCCATCTTAATACAAAAAGTGGTTTATGCATAGTTTTAGTTTAAACTAAACTATGTTTATATATGTATATTGACATATTCATTTAACTGTGGCGCCACAGTATATGTGAAATTTGACGTTAGCTATAAGTTCGCATATTTTCCACGATACTTCCTATTGAAAATACTAGCTCTAGACCAGTAACTCAGGTTTAAACTTGAAGCTATTTATAAACTATTTATTTTTTGTAATTTAAAAAAATTGTCTATTTGGGCTAATCTACAGAATGACTGAACCAATTGTGATGAAACTTTATGAACAAATAGACAGTAATGTAGGAGGAGGGATATAGTTAACCGTAAAACTTAAAAATGAAAACTTTTTAACATATATATGATCTTTGACTGTTTTAAATCTCAATAACATATTAATAGATCCTATCCAGGTGTTGCCTGGGCAGTTCACTAGTTATAAAATATAATAGACATTCTATTCTGATGATATTAAAATGAAAAAATTATGTATTTAATGCTGGATTATTTTAGGAATGAGCGCTACAGTAATGCATATGGCGATTATAGGGGGGGTTATGGGCCAATGAATAGTGGTGGATTTGGTCCAATGAATGGTGGTGGTTTTGGTCCTATGAATAGTGGAAATTTTGGACCTCCACGTAATATGGGCCCGCCTCCTGGAAATTTTGGACCTAGACCATTATTTCCTCCAGAAGAAATGCAAATGTTCATGGGTAGAGGATTTGGTCCCCAAGGTCCTAATAGATTTAGAAAAAATAAGGATAAAGCTACTAGATATTTGATACGTAAGTATTATTTCAATCAATATGACAACATTCATACCAAAAATTGAATTTATAAAACTATACATATATTTGCCTTTCTATTTCTTATATTTTTTATTTTTTTATCTTCATATTAATCACAACTACACTAAATGTTCTCTGAAAGCACTAATGTACCATAACATTACTGTTTTTCTGGGCATTATATTCCAAATCTTTACCGAAGCTTACTATTGAACAGAAACATAAATCATTGATGTTTACATTTTGCAAAAAAAAAGTGTGTGTGTGTGCATGTGTTTAAAAGTGTTTAAGCTGATAAACTTCAAATCATTCAAATAAATCAAATATTAGTGCATATATTTTGTTTGTCCAAAGATTCTTTGACCTGAAATTTGTATTGACTGACTATATGAGGTTTAAAGTAATATCTTCAAAGTCTGAAAGTATGTTGTGTTTTAAATTGGTAACTGAATTAATTTTTGACTTTTATACATATAAATAAAAATAGTCTTTTTAAGAAAAAGATGTCAGTTTTAAAATTCCGTGATATTTTGTTTTTTTATATTTGCACAAACTTTAAAATTGCAAAATTGCAATGGCTAAATTTGTAATAAACAGACAAGAAAGCAAGTTAAGACAATACATTAAAAAAGCTGCTTCATTGTCATGTACTGACCAAACAATTGGATAAACATGAAAATAGTGTACTAACTTACTATTGCAAAAACTTGGGTGTAATATTATAATTTATATTTAAAAAAAAACATATACTAGCTGGCCCGGCCGACATTGTTCTGCCCTTTCGTAGATGACGCAATAAGTTTGACTCCAAATTCACTCTGGACTTTGAACAGTGTAAATGTAAAATGTATTGATGATATTATAAATATGAATGATTTTGGTCCATAAATAGAGCTTTTTAATAACTAATTATTTGTTCTATAAAAGTTACAATATTATTGCTTATACTATTAATAATTATTACTAATTGTATATATATATGTTCTATTATTGTTCAAAAACACTGTACAGTAAACCATATTTACTCTTATTTATATTTTACATGACAATTATTTTTGTCATTTTTAAATAAAACTTGAAACAAAAACAAGCTTTAGTTTAAACACTGGTCAAGTTGGTTTAAAGCAGTTTCTCTCTGTATGGGATGAGCCACCAGTACTCACGCATACATGCACCTCAAGCTTATAGTAGTGTACCTATCATAGCACAGTAGTATGGAGCTTTGCCTCTGGTCGGTTTCTTTATTCATGTGCTTATATCAAGTAATAATTAAAACTAACGCAAGTGACAACAAATCATCTGATTAAATCTCAATATCTATTATCTATATCATCGCAAGAAGTGTGTCCATAGCCCATACATTTGACACAGAGTAATTCTTTACATAATAATAATAAAGTAGGGTTTCAGTATATATTTATATGTTTTTTTAAATTGAAATTCTAGTAAAAAATTATAAGATAAAATTTAATTAAAATCACAGTTGAAAACCTACACAAATCAAATTCAATTGACAAATTTATTCTTAGAGAATTATATAATTACTTGTTATAAGTAATTAACATTAATTTGTTTTTCTTTATAGGCTGTGGAGTCCCGAAAGAGCACTTGAAGAACTTGCCCAGAGACTTGCTGCAATTAATAGAGCCACAGTATTGCGGTTTGTGTGGTCAAAGTTTCAATTCATTTGCTATATGTAAGTTTTTTATTACTTGTGTAGTTGACAATAAATGTGTAAAATTTCTGATATATAAAACATGGTGTTATTTTGTAACTATACAATAAATTTCTTCCAGCTCGCACACATTATGTTTCCAAAAATCATTTGAAGAATCAGAAAAAATGGTTATCGCAACATTCTGACGGGGCCTACCAGCAGGCTAGAGAGGTAAATGGACGATTTGTCAATGTAATGTTTCTTTAGGAGTTTTGTTAACCATTTGGTTCACATAACACAGTAAAAATTATCAAGACAACTTGAACATTGGTATTAACCAAAGAGAACACATGTTTTCCTCACTTGTATTGCTGTCTACTTTACAAATGTAATTGTTGACAGTTAAATATCAAGTGAAACTTATGTGAACACTGTTGACGAAACTGAATCTTACATTGTAACAAATTGTCTGGCCATGCGTTGTATCAAACGTGTGGTTTTTAATACTCGCATTTGAGTTTACAATTTACTGTTCATAAAAATATACTGTGGTGACTAGACTTACAGTATATTTGAATGACTTAGTAGTACATACTATGTATGTATATTATGTTTATTCCTTACAGAAGTATATTCCTTAAGCAAATTTAAATATTATCATTTTTAAATGTTATTTTGAACACAGAATCGTTAACTCTAATACATAGTATTCAATAATTCTCTTAAACTTAATATGTGGTAGGTGGGATTATATTTTGGATTTGACTTTATGGCGATATAGACTCCAATACTTTGTAGTTTTACAGGTAGTTTCAGTATTTTACTTTTATTTCAGATCCCATTTAAGTCACGTGAGCTGTACTGTGAACTGTGTGATGTACATATTACATCTAAATCTCATGCTGATTCGCATTACGCCGGAAAACCCCACCGCGCGTAAGTAAAAGTATTTCTTACCAATCTTTTATCATAATCATGAAATTATAAGAAACAAAATAGATATATGGGTGAGGTACATTGAAAGTTTTGAAAGTTTGAAATCAAAAACAGACAAAAGTGTAAAGTTGCTAATAAAAACCAGCAAAACCCTTGTGTTTAAAGTAATCTCCATTCCTGTTTTGAGGGTGTTGCTCGAAGTAATTTAAAAGTACTGACAAAACTTATTGTTAATTTAGTCTGCAGTAAAATTACTGTTATTTTCCAGTATAATTGTATATTCGTAACTTTTTCATTCATATAGTTTTATCAGCAAATCTTCAAAATGAAGACCCATTGTGAATAATGTACATTTTTATTTATGGGATATCTTCCATCTTCTTGCTTAGTAATTATTTGGATACAATCAATACAATAATCTTCTGCACGGCACAGCAATGACACTATATGCAGTTGTTTCTGTAAATGCTCCTTATGCAGATCATTAGTGAGATGTTGATATTTGAGATTGACCAGAAACTCATTGAACCAGTTATAACTTCTGACATGAGGTTGAACTGAAGCATAACATTTTAGTTGACTAACACATTGTTAAATTAATTTTGACATGCTAAATACACAGTGAATTACTGCTATTTTTCATTGACACTGTTACTTTGGCCAACCCTAAAAACTTGGTATCACCCTTGGTATTAAGCTATAATATATGAAGGGAGGAAAGAATAGGCATAGTAGTATTTTTTAAGTACCCTCATTTGTTTACAATCACCCAACAAAAAAAATCTTGAAAACAAATTCAACCTTACACTGCCATAGTTTCTGATCAAGCAAGGAAATTTCGCTTAAACCTTAATGAATAAAATTTGAATTGTTTAGGAAGATATTTGGACCCTCGTTTAACAATTATTTTTAAGTGAGATGCCCATCTGAAATACTAGCTATCTGCCTTACTAAGAGTATCAGATCCACTATTTCGAAGTCATTGCAAGATGTTATCAAGAATGTTCACGCCGCCTTAACAGCAATAAGGAATCAACGCGTCGAGGTGTTTTTTGTATGTCAATGATATGTATTTTTGTTACAGTATTGTAGAAGGTCGGAAAATGCCTCGAAATCCTGCTTTACTGCAGCCCAGTATGGCTAACCGATTGTAAGTATTATTTTTTACCTAAAGTTGATCTCGACACAAAGGATTTTACTATCATTATCTTATCTTTTTTTTTTAAAAAACCATACCTCCACTAGGATTTTCTCCTTTATCGGGGGGACAGTTTACATACATAGATTTCACAAAGACAAACATCCAAGCCCAGAACAATTATTTGTAGTCCATACAAATACTTATTATGTGCGGGATTCGAACCTGTGGCCCTTAGTGCTGCAACTCATTGGTAAGCTATTAATCAATGTAGGAAAAAATAAACCAAATGGTACAAGATCCCACCTAAATCAACCTATCTGTTTCTTAAATGAGTTCTCATTTAATGACTTGCTTAACAAAAGTTTATTATTTCACGAAGAAGCAGACAGTTTGCTTCGAATGCGTGGTATGTCTACAACAAGGGAGTAGAATATCGTCGAGTATTTGGATGACCCAAGGTGGAAGGGAGAGGAAATAATTAAGTCATGTAATTCATATGCTCTATTTAAAATGAATCCTGTAGAATCTTCGATCAACAATACCAACTAGATAACGGGTCACTTACAAAATCATAGCTAAATGCTGTCTGCGTGAATATATACTTATACACCTACATTTGTTTACTAAAGAACTGAGACAAAAAATTAAAACAGTTTTATGTTCAACCCAATTACAACCATGGCATCTAGTAATAAAGTCACAAATCTTACGATCATACATACACACATTTAATCACGCCTCTTTCCCGTAGGGGTAGGCAGAGACCACTTCTTTCCACTTGCTACGATCCTTACATACTTGTTCTGCTTCGTCCACTTTCATTATTCCCTTCATACATGCTCTACGGTTTAGGGTACTCTTGACCTGGCCTTTTTTCAAGACGTCCCTGATTTGGTCTAGAAATGTCCGCCTACCCCTTCCAATACTTTCATTCACACTCGCCTTATACACTTTTTTCGTCAATCGTTCTTCATTCAATCTCTCGACATGGTCAAACCATCTCAGCATACCTTTCTCAATTTTTGTCACTACATCATCTTTCAGACCACAACGTTTCCTTATCTCACTATTTCTTATCCTGTCACTCAGTTTAACTCCTATCATACTTCTTAATGCTCTCATCTCAACTGCATTTATTCTGCTTTCATGTTTCTTCTGCCATACCCAACTTTCACTTCCGTACATGAGTGTCGGAACCAACATGCATGTCATGCACAGCCAAACGAACCTTGTTAGACACCTTCCGACTGCTCATAAAGGAGTGCAAAGCTCCATTCACCATGTTTCCTGCATTCACTCTTCTTTCGATATCACTCTCTTACGATCATTAGTTACAAAAAAGACCAATTCACTCCTGTCACTTGGAAATGAAAAGACATAAGTTAAATAACATTTACTGTGAAATCAACCTTAAGTAATAACAAATTAGAGTATTTTTTCCCGTTATTGACTTGCAAGCTACGTCATTTTGTTTCGTTTCTGTTTGCTTCTTCGAATTTAGCTACAAAAGTTATGGGGTCGCGGTGAACACTAAAATAATTTATAATATGATCATTAGTTTAGTTAAAATTATTTACATTTTGGGCATTTATGTTTGTTAGTATACATACTTTCCACATTAGCCATTAAATAAACTACTCAAAACAAAATAGGGCCCACTAAGTTAATCTCGAATTTCGTCTAAAAAAAATTTTTGGGTAGTAAATAGTGAGGTTTAACAATTCGAAGTATTGTTGACATGTTTATCTAACGTTATCAATGTTTCAAGTCATGAATTCAATGGAGAGTAGACATAAAAAGTTAGGTACTCCAAAAAACGTTTATTACTCAAATTCTCAGTCACTTGTACCCTCAGTTACATTCTGAATGTTACAGTCGCACGTCTACTTTTTCATTTTGACTCGATTTCGGTGTTACTCGTGATCGTTATGCCTGGGTCTCGTCGTCATATGGATGTGGCAACAGTAATAAGAGCAGTGTTTATGCATCAGGAGGGAGAATCTAAGAGATCAGTGGCAAGACGTCTTGGTATGTCGCGACGAGCTATTCGAAACGCGTGGGAACGCTTTCTAGAGACAGGTAGTGTCGCGAGGAGATCTGGATCAGAAAGAGCGCGAGCTACAACCGTCCAGGAAGACCGATATATCAGATTGACTGCACGTCGAGAGCGTACGATTCCCGCCCGCGTCTTACAAAATCGACTGCGGCAATCGACTGGCACACGAATTGTTAAACCGTTCGAAATCGGCTCCATGAAGACGGGCACCGTTCCAGATCTCGTGTTATGCGTCTAAAATTGGCAAGAGCGCATCGTGCAACACGTTTGAGGTTTGCTCGCGAGCATGCGGAGTGGACAATGGAAAACTGGAGAAATGTACTCTTTACGGACTAAAGTAAAGTGAAGTTTTTCAGCGATTATCGTCGAGTGCGCGTGTGGAGAAGAGAAGGAGAACGTTTTTGAAAACCTTGCATACATGAAACGGATCGTTTTGGAGGTCCAAATGTTATGGTGTGGGCATAAGCTTCCTCGGTAAAACTGAACTGGTAATTCTGGAAAAAGGCTCCATAACTGCCTCCCGGTATATCGATCGAATAATTCGGTCCAATGCCATTCCATTTTCACAAAGTGTGGGTGAAAACTTCGTCTTTATGCAAGACTATGCTCGCCCACATACAGCGCGAACAACCCAGAGAGCTCTCTCTGAAGCCAATATTACGGTTTTACCATGGCCGGCCATGAGTCCTGATATTAACCCCATTGAACATTTATGGGACCAATTGAAAAGAAGCCTCAAATCGAACTTCAGTAATGTGACTAATCGACAAGAGCTCATAAACGCCCTAAAATCGAACTTCAGTAATGTGACTAATCGACAAGAGCTCATAAACGCCCTAAAATTGTGTTGGGAGCGAATACCCGAGGAAAACATCACCCACTTGATTGAAAGTGTCCCAGATAGATTCAGAGAGTGCATACGGAACAGAGGAGGGCCTACTCGCTATTAAGCACCATCAAACTCATTGATTTAGTTAATAATAAAAATCAAAATCAAACTTTACTTAAATTCTTTACTTTCTTTACTTAAATAAATAATTTCTGTAAGCTTTCCTAAAAACTGTAAATTTTGACTAAATTCCGTAAAATTGGCAAAAATTACTCCTGTTAATGTTCACACACTTTCAAAAACCTTAATTTATTCATTCCTAATCATAAAAACTGAAGAAAGAAAAAGAATCTGTAAAATTCATTTATAAAACATGGTGGGGCCCTATTTAGTTTTGAGTAGTTTATAATATAGTATGTACTATAATGATTGCATTTTATTAGATAATTCATTATATATTTATTTTAATTTTTGTATGTATATATATGTTTGTAGTATATGTATTATATATATAATAAATATATATATATATATATATATACAACGTGTCCCAAAATTCAACGATAAGCCAACACCGGAGGATAGACCTGCCCCGGACTAATCGGGTAAAAAAAGAAAAAAAAATATATCCCAATTATATTTTAAGTTATATAAAAAAAATGAAATTCTTCAGAAATTGAGACCGTTTATGATATTTTTCACTACCATGACCACAATTTTTTAAATATTTTTTTCTTTTTTTTTTATAGGCAACCTGAATAGTACTGCTATCTACCACAATTCTTAAAAACTCCAGAATAACTCTTGTTTTATCACGAAAATTAATGAAACTTATTTTATTCCCTAAATTTTTTGAAGACTTTTACTTTTAACCAAATTTAACTTATCGTGGTGTAAAAAAAAAGTATGAACACTAGTATGGCAAGTTTTTTTAAAAATTGACGCAACTAACCAATATTCCAAAATGGTATAATACTCTAGGAAAACAAGTTATAAAAAAATATGGGCCTATTATTTCTTAACAGGGGCCAAATTCCTTAAATTGTAATTGTCAGTAATCACTTTTACTACATGCCCAAAATGGGTTCCTGTTACAATTTCTAGGAATTCGAATGGGGCATTAATACCTTAGATGTTAGAGAGAGATAGATAGATAGAGATATTTACGTTAAAAAGAGACAACAACAGGGCAGGTAGAGAAGCTGTTATTATTCTCAGCAAGTCGGTTCAGTACGCTCTGCTCCTTTGTTTACTGCGCACCGTACCCAATTCAACTTACGTGGCCCTCGTACATACTATCGACTTTTGGCTTGGCTTTTTGGACTGGAATCGACCTGCAAACTTAACTGACCTGGCATTATTTGGACTGGAAGTGATCTGCAAACTGAACTGACCTGGCATTATCTTGGACTACGATTGTGTGTTTTGTGATTTAGAGTTCTGGCGCATTTTGGACTGTTTGGCGTTTAACATGCCGCAACCGTACACACCACAGGAATACGCTAATATGCATTTAATCTATGGAGAATGCCGATGTAATGCTAACGCTGCTAGCAGACTGTATCCAGAAAGATACCCAAATGCTCAAAGATATCCTGATTATCGAGTGTTTATTAATGTGCATCAAGCGTTTTCGGAGGGTCGTATGCCATCCAATAGGAGCAGCGCTGGAAGACCTAGATTGGATCGTGATGAAGAAGTTCTCAAAGAGATAGAAAATGACTCGACTACTTCGGTACGTGCCATAGAAGAAGCTACAGGAATCCCGAAAAGTTCTGCACATCGAATATTAAAACGTCACAAGCTTCACACATATCACTACAGGCGTGTGCAGACGTTATTACCGCGGGACTATCCGCTACGGGTCACATTTTGCCGTGTAATGCTGCAAAGGCACAGTGAAGATCCCCACTTCCTAGACAAAATTCTATGGTCGGATGAAACAACGTGCAAGAAAGATGGGTATTTAAATCTTCACAATCTACATAGTTGGAGTAATGAAAATCCACACTTGATGAGACAAGACAAATCCCAATATCAATTCAAGGTTAACCTATGGACCGGCATATTAAATGGAAAAGTAATTGGGCCCTTTGAGTTACAAGGAAACTTAGATGGCAATAG